GTTGGTGGGTCACCTGCTCTAGGCTTTCTCCATCCACTGCAACCAGCTCGAAGCCAGCCTGGCGTGGAGATGGAACAGTCAGCTTTCACATCATTCCCACCCACTACCCAACCTGAAGGCAGTGGCCTTTCACCTCTACCAGCTAGGGCCCTCCTCCTCTGGGTGCTGGGGATGGACAATAGGACTTTTGTGCCTGGAGCTGTTGGGGGCAGGGTGGGGCACAGACAATGGCCCTTTGTCCTTTGGGACTTGAGGTGGAACAGGATGGGCCATTCTCAGGCCCAGGCTAGCATGAGGGGACAGATTCTTCTCTAGGCTTGCCCATCCTACCAGCCTGACCCCTTTGCCCCCTACCTCCTCCTACGACCTGGTCTGAACATGCCTGGCTAGAAGATGAATGTGAGGCAGCCCTGTCTGTACCCTTCAGCCCTGGGCCTATGGCGGCTTCGTCTCACCTACCTGAAGGGCCCCGCAGAGGCAAGCAGCGCCTCCTGGAAAGATCTTCTCTATCTTCACCATGGGCTGCACCTTGGACTCAATGCCCCCAGAAATGCTGATGCCTGGGGAAAGGTCCGAAGCACAGAGTGGCAACCTTACCCCAAACCTTGAACTCCCAGGAGGAGCGTGGAATCCCACCCCCAAAATCAGCCTTGACTTCTTCCCACCTCTGCATTGAGTCTCAAGTCTCAACTCCAAACCTAGATTCCCCAGCTACCCACCTCATTTCTCAGGTTCCTTTCCCAGGCCCCAACTTCCCTCAAATCCAGGCATCCACCTTGCTTGCCCGGTGCCTCCTGAACTCACCCAAAGACTGCTTCATCTTGGATAGTGTGACCGTCCTCAGCTCTCCGGTGGTGGCCTTCCTGGTAGTCTCCTCAGCTGTCCCACCAATTCCATTCTCTGAGGGCCCTTGCCTAGCTCCCACCTTGGCCTCCGGCCCACCCAGAGGTCGTGGAAGCAGGGGCCTTGCCTTCCGAGGCCTGTGGTAACGCCCATTGGCTGTGGTGGCGGAGGTGATGGGTGCCGGAGAAGGAGAGCGCCTGCGCCCAGGGGACTTGCCTCGACCTCGACTGCGGCTTCGACTGCGGCTTTGGGCTGGGGTCTGGCTCTGGTTCTGCTGAGGGTCCTCTTTGCTTGGGGGTTCTGTGAGTAGCCAGTTAGGCCTGGGAGGCCGGGGAGCCACAGGAGGTGGTTGGGGAGGAGGCGTGCATGCGCTTCGGCGAGGAGAGAAGGCATCAACCGGCACATCTTGAAGAGGGGGCACTCCTTTATGGTGACGGCGAGGGGCAGAGGCACTGAGGGAGACCTTAAGGCCCCCCAGCCTCTCCCTTATCTCTCCATCGTCCTCCTCTGAGCAGCCGTTCACAGGCAGCAGGTAGAAGCCTCCACGGCTATCTGGGGGAACAGGGTCAAAGCCTACTTGTTCTTCTTGACCATCAATCCCAGGATACCTTTCCAGACCCTGGTCCTTTATGCCGTTTACAGGGCTCCTGAGTGTGTGTAAACAAGGCCTGGATTTGCTCACGTCTGTGGTAAAGTGTCCCATGGTAAGGAACTCCGCCCACTGGGGCAGGGGGACAAACATGACAAATTACTAACTTTGTATTGTAATACAGTTCTACTTTAGCATAGCCAAGAAATGGACAAACATGACCTATTACTAACTTTGTATTGTAATACAGTTCTACTTTAGCATAGCCAAGAAACCAGATTTAAACGTGTGTAGTTTTAAAATGCCCTGTATAGGAGTGAGTGGGTGTGATAGCAATGGCCCAGAGGACAGGGCTTTCCTTCCTGACTACAGTGAGGCTGCTTGGAGGCCAGGATGGAAGGCCTGTTCTCCCTGTTCCAATACCCCCGGGGTTGTCCCTTTCCCCCGGGTTATGGGACTCTGACTGACCAGGCACAGGGGTGATGAGGTGACGCTTGGGTGGCGTGTCTTGTCTAGTTGGTCTCAAAGCGGAAGGCCGAACTGTTGGAGGGGAGAACAGGTCAGAGGAAAGGCACTGCTGCCAGGCTCCCGGTGGGCAAACCAACGGGCTCAGCAGCCTGAGCCCCTCTCCACTCCCACGCCTGACGGGAGCTCAGGAGCCAGAAGTCCTGCCCTGGCTGCTGACCTGCCCTGTTCTTGAGAGCCTCAAAAGCCTCCAACTCCACAGGCATCACCATGCTGTCAAAGCGCCCGAGGTCCGTGGGGGCCACCACGCTCCTGGGGAAGGCAGGGATGTGAGGGAAGCAGGTCTAGCTTGCTTCTGGAGAGGCAGGCATGCAGGAGCTTAGGTCCTGGGGTCACTAGGGCTTCTTGCCCCGCCCCTCTCTCAAGCCCCTCCCAACCTGATGTCCCTCAGCAGCAGCAGCTTCTCCGGCCTGTCCAGGATGGCCAGCAGGGGGCGCACCAGATCCTCCACGCCACCCTCGTGGACATACTGTGTAAGGGAACACCACCCAGGTCAGACAGCAGCAGCACCTCCAGAGCTAGAGAGGGGGAAACACCAGGGCACACAGGGACCCTGGGGCCCATCCAGCCATCCTCACTCTAAGATAGGTTCACCCTATCCAAGGTCCACAAGACAGGACATCAGTAACTTGGTGGATGCCTTGAGGAGCAGCAGATCTGCAACAAACAGCCACAGCGATCATGGCGTCTGGACAGGCAACTTTCTAAGCCTTTTTCATAGAGTCTGTTACTTAGCGGCCACTCTGAGACGACTCCTGGTTTACAGAGGGAGGAGCTGAGGCTCGGGGAGAGTTTTCTCAAAGCCATGCAGATAAGGAAATATGAGGAAAGGCTCTCGCCTGCTCTGGCGCAGGAAAATAATGTGTAGTGACCGCACCCCCCACACACACACACTTCCCCCAGGCAGAAGGAAGGAATGTGAGCCCAACTCTAGGCTGTGGTCCTGGCTGTCCCCACCCTTTGTTCAGAGCTAGAATGGTGACCTTGGGGAATGGGTGGCTCCACATTGTGCATCTCTACTCAGTACCCTTCTGCCTGGCACTGCCTGGATGTTACCAGCCCGGATGCCACACCCCATGGATTCTAGAGAACTAAATACTGGGAGCCAAGTTACTTGGGCAGCACACCACCCCCTGGCGGTGAAAGGGAGACAGCTCCAGAGAGACCCACTGGTAAACTCGTTAAGGGCGTAGAGACAGAAATAGCAGGCGCTCTGACCATTCAAGTGAATCATCAATAAATATTAAGGAATAAATAAAAATAAAGTCTGTGTGCATGTGTCTAAACTACACCCATGGTTACAGGGACGCATATCAACAACACCCTGCCATATATGTGCATGTCTCTCAAGTCTACAAGCATGAATTCAGCATCTGCTGATAGACCCCAGTGGCAAAACAGGCACAGTGATAAGACCCTCTCCTAGAGCCTGGGAAACTCAAGTGGGAACAAGGGACAGATGAGCCTCATTCGGCAGTGACTGTAAACCACTGCAATGGGGCAATGTGAGTTTCAAAAAAAGGGTCTCAGAAGCAGTGACTACTCCATCAACTCTTCCAGAGTGGGTGCAAGGCACAGCGTGGAAGTTGGGGAGAAAGGGCACGCAGAATAATGAGTAAACAAAAGCTTGTTATGTCAAGGGCCCACAGAGACACTCCTATTGGGTGACTAGCACCCCCTAAAACTATGCAGCTTATAATTTATGTCAGCTGTGTGGTGGCCCAGGAAAGCGGGGTGTCGGGGGTTGGGATGTCACATGGTGGAAGTCCTAGAGGGTGGGAGAAAGTAACTTGTACTCTCTTCTGCTTCATAAGGGAACTGTAAAGCAGTAAGAGAGGTAACTTGTAATTCCGGGCTGATGGCTGTGGAAGGATGGCTCAGACAGGAGACCGGGAACATTGCCTATCTCTCGGGCACGGGCTCATTTCAGAAGGTTTAGGGTGGGGGTGTTGGTTTGGGTGTGGATCGTATGTAGAACCTACAGGGTAAATAGAGCCAAGGTGAAATGAAGTCCTGGTTTGAAGAGGGCTGGGGGAAAAGTGCTGGCCAAAGATACAGACACAGGGCCCCTCCTAGTGGCCAGAGCTCATAGTTGCAAGCTCTCAGAAAGCCCACTTAACGTTCGGACTGAGTGACAAAGTTTAGCCCAGAGCCCTTGACAGGAACCTTTATCTGCATTTCTGTTGTAAACCAGCCCTCGGTAAAGGGCTGTGTGAATTAACCCGCCTTAGGCTTTGAGTGATATTACGTGGGCACATACAGACATGGTATGCACAGACAAATGCATGCAGGCATGTCAACCAAAACTGGCTACTCCAGAGACATGCCAGTGTGCGTATCACAACAGTACACATACAGCCACATCATGAGCCAGGTGAAGGCAAGAGTGATTTTCTAACTCTGCTCAGCTTGCCCACAGTGTGCACTAATGCATGCTGCCAACAAGGAGCCTGCCACAAGACCCTTGGGGTCCCTGAGAGAGAATGACAGTAAAGGACATTCCAGTTCTAGTGGGGTGGGGGAAGCAGCACTCTGCAGTCTTCTAAAACTGACTCCCACAGACACTGGTGCCCTCTGGAACGGGTTGAAGAGAAAGGAAACAGAATAGTGAGGTACTGGGCAAGGACTGAGATAGGAGCAAAGGAAAACCTACTTGGGAAACAGGAACAGGCTCTTGGCAGAAGGCCACGCCTGCTGGCTGTCCCAGGAGTAGAAGGGGAGATGGGTGACGATACTGGGGGTTAGAGTGCCTTTGCTGTCCCAGGAGTAGAAGGGGAGATGGGTGACGATACTGGGGGTTAGAGAGAGCACAGTCAGTTGCCTACGAGAATTCTCCGCTCCCGCTCATCAGCTGTCTTCCTCATCTCCTCAGCTTAAATGTCACCTCCTCTGAGAAGACTTCCCAGATCTCCTGGGTTACCCCCATCTGTCTTTCACAGTGCTCTGACTGGTTGCTAGGTGGATTTAGATTCTAATTATTATCTTTCTTTTCTTCCTGCATCTGCCTGGCAGTTTGCTGTCCATTGACCTCCCAACAACAAGCCCAAGTACCAGTCAATGGACACTGGCCTGGAATGAGGGACCAGGCCTTGGGCAGAGACTTACCCGAGAGCAGTGGCGAGTAACAGCTAGTACCTCATCGTCCGTCAGCAGCCGTCGGGCCAGGTCCTGAATGAGGGGCCGTCGACTTTCCCAGGCCTGCACCTGCTCATCCACACTGGGCAGCTGGCCAGAGGGGCTTCCAGACCTAGCAGAGAGCAGGGCCCGGCCCCTCTCCCGGTCTGTAGGGCAGGAGCAACAGGGTGTGATGAAGGTGATGAGAGCTGTTAGCTTAAGGTAGTTTCTCTTGGCAGGGGTGAGGCTCCAAACAGGCCAGCTGAGACTGAGGTACCCTGGACAGAACCCCACTGTGACCCTGCTCCCCAACATGGCCTTTCCTAACAAACTGCCATCAATAAAGGCAAACTCCAGCTCCTCTTTCATTGTCTTACTAATCTGTCCTTCCCACTGAAGTATAGGCAGGCTTCCTCACCCCAAGTCCCTTTGGGGGCCCCATCTCTGACCCCTTTTCTAGTAAGCTAGCCAAGTTCTCTGCCTGACTCCACAGACTGAGCTCGAAATGAGTTAGTTTAGTGACAAGCTGGTCCTAGCTTTACCATGGGGACCTTGGGATACTGGATTTACCACGTCTCAGTCTCCAGGTGACAAACTTCTGCACAGGCCCCACGCTCCCTGCTGTAAAGAAGAAAGGTTCAGATCAGCTGGAATAGGAGTTCCTGTGAGAAACAATCAGGGCAGGGACAAATGCCTTTGGGGCCTACAAGGTTGTGCCCAGCTAGGGACTTCATTCATAGGCAATGGGGAGTCAGTGAAGGCTGTGGACCAGAAGAGGAGGCAGTATGAGGCTTATGGAGATTTATTTGGAAATGAATGAAGAAAAGAACCCCAAGGACAGAGCTTGGTGGTACCTACCTTCCAGAGACAGAGGGGAGAGGAGGAGCCTTGGAAACAGAGAGGGGATAGGCCAGAGAGGTGGGCTGAGAGCCATGAGAAGACAGCAACCTGGGAACTGTGAGGAGACGAAAAGGTGAGGAGAGGAGCTGGCTCCACTTTAATTTGGAGAAATGTCTCCTCTGCTAGACTCACTCTGAGGCCTCCGGACAATTCTAAGGCGGAGCAACATCCAAATTCTCGTCCTCAGCTGGCTTCTACCTCCCAATGTTGGCTCCTCTTTCTGGAAGCAGCACCCTGCTTATCTCCTGGGTAACCCCCTCCAATCTCAGCCCATGCTTTCTGGCTGGGCACATGGCCCAGGGTGAGCAGAAAAATCACCCATCCACCAGGTCTGGGAGCTCCTGTCATGTGTCGTCCTCCCCTCCGCTCCCTCCGTTCTCCTCCTATCCTCCTCACATCACAGTGGTTTGCTCAGCATGACAGATGACCCCAGGAGGCAGTGAGAGCCCTGACTGATCCCTTCAGCTAGAAGTGTTTAAAAATCTCCCTGTAGGCCAGGTGTGGTGACATACGCCTATAATCCCAGCACTTGGGAGCCAGAGACAGGTCTCTGTGAGTTTGAGGCCAGCCTGGTCTACACAGTAAATTCCAGGACAGTCACGGCTGTTACACAGAGAAAAATCTGTCTCGAAAAACCAATAATAATGATAATGATAATAATAATAATAATAATAGTAAGTCCAAATAACAAAAACTCCCTGTCCCAAGAGTTGCTAAGGGACAGTGGCCATCTCATCCAAACAACAAAAACTCCCTGTCCCAAGAGTTGCTAAGGGACAGTGGCCATCTCACTTTCAAGTTGGCAAAACCTTCTAAGGTGGAGGCACATGCCTGAGGGAGCTGTCTGTTGGTGTTCCTTCAGTTGGGCTAAAGTCAGTAGCTGAACCTAGAGGCACTCTTTAAAGCTAGCTGGATTTGAGTTTCTGTCCATACAGTTGTGAGTTTTACCTCATTCATGTTGGGTCTGGTCTCTGAGCCTCAACAGGGTTGACAGGCTTTGTGTGAAGGTTCTTAGGAAAACCCTACCTGGGGCTGTGGCTGGAACCCTGTGGTAAAGTGCTTGCCTGGCATGCCTGGGGCCCAAAGCTTCAACCCCAATGACTAATGGGGTGAGGACGGTGTCTCCACCTGAGTCCCTTCTGAGCCATGATTGAGAAGTGGCTTTCCTCAAGGGTAGTTCAAGAACTAGGTTGGGCCTGTGGAGCTCTGGATAGAGGGTGTGAAGCCAGGGGCCCTAGCAAAAGTCTTCCATTGCCACCAAAGGCTCAGGACTTCAAACTGAGCTCCGGCACTTCTTGCCGTGCCTTGAGTCTGTCACTTTACCTTTCGGAAAAGATGGAAGATGGCAGGATGGCAGTGGCCACCCTATTTTTCGGAGCCCCTTCTAGGAGCTAGACCAAGTGCTGGCATGCATTCACTCATTCTGATTTTCTTTATGTCCAAAGAAACAAGTTTTAGTCCTTCCGTTTTACTTGTGAGGGTGAGTGGTGGGGTAGGGTAGGGTTTCAATCTGGAATTGCCAGATAGATTCCAGCACCTACCTTTCTCCAGGTCCAGGCGAGGGCGGACTTTGGTGGGGCTTCTGCTGTCCAGTGTCCAGGCCTCTCTGTGCCCGTCCCCTGCTGGCCGCCCCTGCCGCCCTCCCTTGAAGAAGAGGCTCATCAGTGTCTTGGAGCGCTGTAAGGCCCCCTTCTCCCCCGGGGTCCCTGACTTCTCCTTCTTCCGCTGTTTCTTCTCCTCTGTAGATATGAGGGAGCCCCCAGGGGGGCCGGAGGGTGGGCAGGAGAGAAGCAGGGTCCAGGGCGAGAGGAAAGGGGGGCAGAGAGAGGGAGAGGAGGCAGAGGGCATCTGCAGCCACTCTAGAGGGGGGTGGTCTTCTTCCTGCCTTCCTCCTCGCCCCTACCACACAGCTCCAGGGATGTGGGGACTCTGGTGTGTGTCTGTAACTAAGCTGGTCTGGGCATCCCAGGCTGGAGAAACTGGAGTTAGGGCTGGTTTGGGGCCCACAGCTTATCAGTTTCGGGGCTGGAACTGAGGGTGGGTTTGGGGCCCAGGCCTGTTTATAAAGTGAAGTCTAGAGCAGGGCCTGAGGATACTTTGGGACTGGACCTAAGCCCTGGGATTTGGGCGAAGGCAGCTTTGGGATTGCTCCTTGGTGTGTGAGTCAGGCTTTGCTTGGACTAGGGGCTATGGCAAAAGTGGCACCGTCCCAACATACCCCACAGTGTCAGGTGGCTCTGAGATCGTGTGATGGGAGGCCTGGGTCGGCTCAGGGCCAGCAACAGAGCAGTCTTGGGTGACTCTGAAAGTGCAGAATCAAGGCGTCGGGTAGAAGAGGGGCCATCAGAGCGGATGGCCGTGTCCCTGAGGATAACGGTTGGCCTTACGCTGCACCAAGTTTCCACACAGCTGCCCGTGTCAGGCTCAGTCTGCATGGCTGTGTCTGCTCGCCCCCAGCCTGGGCCACGGCCAATGGGCTCCTCGGGCCCCAGGCAGACATCCATGCGGTCAGAGGGCAATGAGCCTGAGCTGCAGGGGACACTGGAGGCATAGGAGGAGACACTGGAGCCACTCTCCGAGGCTGTGGACAGCTGCTGCAGCGCCCCATTGCTCACTACAAGGGAGAGGAAGTGAGGTCACTCAGATGTCTGCTTTCTTCCCTGGGGGCGCTGCCATGCTCACACACTACCCTTGGGCTTTGGGGTGGGTTAGAGGTGCCAGCTGCTCAGATTGCCACCTACATCAGGGAGCCCTGGGAAGTCACTTCTTCCATCACCCATGGGACTTGAGGCCAAAAAGACCCTGGCATTGAATCTGGAAATCCTCAATGAAGGCTATAAACAGCTCTGGGCTGCAAGAAGATCCTAAGATCATCTTGGTTCCCCCTCCCTCTCTTTCTCTCCCCAAGGAGCCCAGCCCAGTCCTTGGGTTCCTCCCTTCCATTTCTAGGGACTTACATCTATCCAGCCAGCAGTACTCTGAAACCATCTCTTTGTAGGCAGGGTACCGGCCAGTCTCCTGAAGAACACATGGCAGGCATTGGAGAGCAGGTGAGAAGTCAGGAGGAAAGGGGTGCAGATGAGACTGGACTGTTCCTTCCACTGGGTCATCCGGCTTACTTTCTTTTTCTTTTCTTTTTTCTTTTCTTTCTTCCTTTCTTTTCTTTCTTTCTTTCTTTCTTTCTTTCTTTCTTTCTTTCTGTCTGTCTGTCTGTCTTTCTTTCTTTTGTTTTGTTTTTTTGTTTTGTTTTTTCCAGACAGGGTTTCTCTGTGG